AAGAGCACATTATAGGGTGGTGAGAACTCAAACTATAGCCATAAATCTACTAATTATTTTAAGCTTTAAAAGCAACAATAAGGTGTTAAAGCAGCATCTAAGTATAGAAGTACTCTTGAACAATTCCAGGTGCAGACAACGGTGGAGGGGCAACTGGCAAACAACTACACCTGCCAATTCTTACCTAGCCCCTTCCATACTAGAAAGTGGCAAGTTGAATCACACAGTACAAGCAAGGATTCCTTCCTAGGTCAAAAAGCTTAGCCACTCTGCATAACACTACATTCTACCTATTATGGATAAGTCAAACCAGCTGCAGGATTTGTTCATCCAAATCTGTTTCAGTTCTTATGATATATAATCTCATACATTAATATTTTATATATGAAATACAGTAACTTCTGAACATTAATTTAAAAAAATAGGTAAGCAGAGTTACCAAAGAAGTGTGGCTTATATATATTAAAGAAGGTCCCTGACCATTCTGGCCAATGGGCACATTTGAAATTTTAAGAGCATGTTGTGGACACTAGCCTCATCATATGGGTGTCTTGCCCATTCGCCAAATGGCTGCCCTGATGGCATGGCCAATCACTGGGGTACTGAGGCAAATTATGTCAAATTCAGGAGGGAAAAATCCCTTTCTACTGTTCCTGGTTCTTAACAAGAGATAAATGGTGGAACAGTAAGACTCTGAATGTTTGGCTGTTTGTAGTGAAATTCTGAAAGGAGAATCGTGCAAAGTGGATAGGAAAAAAATTGAATATATAGAAGAATGTGTGTACAGTAGGAAAGTATAAAATTTTCCACATGCAGAGCAGCTGATTTTGGGGACTCTGTACCAAAACCGAAGTAAGCATATTCTGAGTGTTTTGATCCATATGCAGAATGAAACTGGGCTGTTTTGTTCCATCGACACAATAAACCAGGACTATTTTATTCTGGATAAAATAGATGAGAGCTGTGAGGGGGAAAGCCAAAAATATAAATAGCTTACAGCAAGCAAGAGAGGGAGGGAAGAGAAGGCACTGAGAAGAGTGGGTTGGCAGCTACTCAAATGTGAAATACTTGGACTTTGATAGTGGTGGAGGCTAAGGGGAGAGAGGCTAGGGAAAGGGAGGAAAGGTGCTGGAAAGATTAGATAGTGGGCAAGTCAGAAGATATACAATACTTAAGTTTTGGAAGCAGCGGCTGAGAGAAGGGAGGGCACTGGGAAGATCAGATGGTGAGATATACCTCCTGGGAGCTACAAAGGCAGAAAGGAAGCTAAGTGCACCAGTTATGCTCTGCTTGCTTTGCCCAGATTTTGTGTCATCCAAAGCTTGGAACCACCAAAATGTTATGCTGAACTGTGGCTGACCTGAGACAATTTGGCAGAACATCCAGAATGGTTTGATCTGGGTTCAGAACAAACTTGTTTTGTGCGTATTCATAGTATTTAATAATTACAAAAAACAAAGGATTTAAGCATACTTTAAAAGTCTGTTCAGCAACTACTTACAAATATGATGAGTCCCACTGTCAGTTGCCTGATACAAAGAGTACATGTATTAAGGAAAATAACATTCATATCTCAAAATAAAGCTGAGCTTTATCAACATCTGAGCACACTAATTTAATTAACAGTACATACCAATGGTTCTGCTTTCAATTAAACTACAGTATAAACTTATAATTTATACACCAGTTGAGATTATTAGTTCCAAATAAAAATGTTGTGTTGCTTGGAGAGCATGGGATTCTTATCTCAACACAAAAAGAACTGAAATTCCAGGATCCTCTGGGTCTAGAGAGAAGGGGCCAGTTGTTATCTAGGCTGAGACAAAAATTGTTATTGCAACCAGCTGAAAAACTGAACTACATCTATTGTTGGAATAGTAGTTTAAGCTGTGGTAAATGTATTTGGCTCCTCCAAATTAATTCAACAATAGAGCTCTGAAAACTCTATGGTAAAGGACAATTCAGACAAATTTGGAGACTCAATTAACATAACTGACCTTAATTAACTATATTATCAATGTTTTTCCGGATTACCCTCATCTGTAAAAATATTTTGGAATATTTGCGTTTTGGCATTTCACCTCAAAATAATGAACAGATGCATTGTATGTATTTGTAATTCTCGTATTTTCTTTCTTATTTTCAATTGTTTGTTTTGTTTTATTTTCCTTCTTAATACTGTGTGATGATGATAGGCAAGCTTTCCTTGGACTGATTTTCTCATTCCCAGCTGCCCCCCGCCCCCGGGCCCCGACCACTGCAAGGGAGAAGGATATGAGGAGGCGCGGCAGGGCGGCGGAGAGCTGGTGACGGCACGCCTCTGGATCCCAGCCCTCCACCTCCGACAACAACGAGAGCTCCTCGGGCTCAGCCTGAGCCATGCCGTATCAGTCCGTATCTACCGCCAGAAGCAAAGGCCCTCCTCTTCCGCCCAGCGCGATTCCCGTCAGACACCGCGGCGATCATAGAGCTAGCTCGAGGACGCGCTGGCCCGGCGACGGAGACGCTCTGGAAAGGCCTTTGAGAAGCGAGACGCCCCCGGGCAGCGCGGTTTTCTCTTGTGCTGTGGCTGGCGCGCCTCTTCGCAAAATCGGTCGGCTGCCCTGCCGCGGGCTAGAGGTTTCCTCCTCCCGAGCCTTCCGGGTCAGCCAACGCCGCCATTCACAAGGTTGGCGGGAAAAGATCCGGGCTTGGGTGGGAATTAGGCTGCTCCTGGAAGTAGAAGAAGAAGCGGGGGAGGTGTTGCATGATGAAGGTAGTAGGTGGCAGGGAAGAGCTTGGTGTGTCTGAGGAGAAGTTCTAGATTTGGTCATTTGGAGACAAATCAGTCCTGCCTCAAATCTGGCACATCTTTTTCCGGACAACAAAGATTGCTGTCTCTTTGGGATTCCTTCAACATACGAAGCTAGGAAGCAATAACCAGATAAATCACATTATGGTGTAGCATGTTGTGGGAATATGTCTTTATGGGTATTGTTAAGGAATACACACACACACACACACACACATGCATACATACATACATGCACACACAAATATATACATTTGTGAGGATATTAGAAATAGTGGAAAGTATAACTGCATAGAATAGGTTAATGTCACTTTAAAAACATTAATACTTCAGACATAAACTTATTTTTTTTCTGTTTATTTTTCAAGAAAATGGAATTTCAGTTCAACTTTTCTGTAGACAAAATAGTGGAAAACAGAACAGATGCTGCTGAGAATGAAAAGCTACAGCAGGAAATAGTCCTACTGAATAATCGAGACATTTCGGAAAAGAGCAATGAGATTACCTCAGAAGAAAATAAAATAAATGAGGAGTATTTACCAGGAGCCACTGCTAATATATCAGACCACAGCACTTCAAATGCAAACCCAGACACAAGTTTGTTGAGGAAACAATCCTGTCCCAAATCTGCCAAGATGCACAATCTTCCTAAAGATGTCAGTAAAGTCCTTGAGAGCAAAATTCTTGGAACCTTACCAGGTATTCACTATGCAAATATTTCTGTGGTGGAGACTACACTCCCAGGTAACTGTGTTGGAGAAAACATAATGTCTAAAAGCATTTCTTCTCAGTCTGACCTAATTACAGGTGTCTATGAAGGAGGTCTAAAGATCTGGGAATGCACTTTTGATCTCTTGGATTATTTGTCAGAAACTGACATTGAGTTTGCCCAAAAGTTCGTTTTGGACCTTGGCTGTGGAGCTGGGCTGTTAGGAATAGTTGCATTAAAAGGAAATGCTAAAGAAGTGCACTTTCAAGATTATAACAGTTCAGTAATTGAAGAAATCACCATACCTAACATACTGGCTAATTGTTCTCTTCAAGATGATGATGGTGAAGAAGATACCCAGTCTAGGAAAAAAGACTTCACCCAAGATTTTCTGTCTAAATGCAAGCTTTTTTCTGGGGAATGGTTAGAATTTAGTAAACTTGTTTTAAATAATACTAAGCCCTTAGCAAAATATGATCTCATACTTACGTCAGAAACTATTTATAATCCTAATTACTATGAAGCTTTCCATGATACACTTTCAAGTTTATTGGCAATAAATGGCAGCATATTTTTAGCTAGCAAAGCGCATTATTTTGGCTGTGGAGGTGGGGTCCATCTTTTTACAAGTTTCATAGAGAAGAAAAATTTATTTAAATATCGAACAATTAAAGTTATTGATAAGGGGCTCAAGCGTTTCATTATTGAACTGACATTTAAGAATTCCTGTTAATATGCTGTCTGGGTCAGCATATCATTAAATATTTATTTTCTGTTATTCAGAAATGTTCTAATAAATTACTAGCACATTTGATTTACTTACACCAAAGCTTTTTTCACTTGCCTTTTTTCTCTTTTCCCCTTTTCTTTGAATTATTTTGAATTATTTGTGTAGGATATGTACCATATCAGCATATTTTCTAGCTTAAGTTTGTCTAGCAGTCCTCTCACATGAATTTCTAAGACTGCATTCTTTTATGGACTTAATTTGACTCAACAACTGTTATTTCCTCATCTAATTCATCCAAGATTGATACTACTTGTGCAACATTTTTGCCTCTAACACATCAATCACAGTTCATAGTTATCCCAATAATTCTTACTGGCATAAAGATCCATCTAGTCTAGGATCTAAGGCAGCTACTTCAAAAGAGCAAAATAGGAACAGCATTGTTCTGTACTTAAAAATCGACAAGTTTCCATTTCTAAATTTGTTGTACAGGCTATCTCTGAGAATAACATATTTATGGTGAAATGCATGCTTGATATTTTCCTGCTAACCTGATAGACATCTTAGAATGACAAACTAGTCAAACCAGCCCTTGTAGTTAGTTAATCAGAAAATTGGGTTCAATAAATCATGGCTCAATTAACCATGGATAAATTATATGTATCAGTTAAATGGTATTTATCTTTTATTTTGAATCTACTTTGTTTTCTTTATGTCCCCATGACATACGTAGCTTCCCTCTACGTGCTACCCTCTTTTTTTCTGCGGACAGTTTTTCTGGCCTCCCTTGGTATCACCTTTGGTTTTTTTGGTTGATTCTTGGAAACTATTTGGATAAGTCCATGCAATTTTCTTGGCAACATTTTCAGAAGTGCTCTGCCATTACCTTTGTCCTAGGGCTGAGTGTGACTGGCTCTAAATCACCCTGTTTCAGGATTAGAACTCAGGTCTCCCTACTCCTAGTCTAGAGCCGTAACCATGAGACCAATTGGCTCTCTTGCTTGTAGTTTTTCTCTTTACTACTAGAAACCAGCAACCATATTTCCATGATCACATTTTCTTTTTGGGCTTTTCCCTGCCCATTTTTTTTAAACTCCATCTCTCATATTTTCCTCTGGTCTTCAGTTGTGCTTTTCTTATATGTTATGGCAAATGAAGTG